TTGCTCCAGCTTAAAAGATGGGACTTTCCCAGTGTGTGTGTGTGTGGAGGGGGGGGGGAGAGGCGCTCTTTGTGGGGAAACTCACGTGGAGGATGACAGTGATGGTCATCATCGCAATAATCGTACAAGCAGCTAACATGTGTTGAGCACTGTTCATGTTCAAGGGGCTGTGCTAAGTGTGATAGAGAAACCCCATCTTCTCTCACTTAGGATTAGGTTCTAAAGTCAGCATGGAAGAAACAAAAACTTGTCTCTAACCCGAATCCCCCTGGATCATCCCTTAAATTGTTTATAAAGTTCAGGGCACATGGTGATATATGCTCCCGCACAGTGATATTATGTGTAAATATGAACAGTATGATTTCGCCTAAATTAAGGAATTACCAGTCACTTTCCCACCTCTGAGTCTGAGACATTGAAAGCAGGGGTGGGTAGATTTCCTCAAGGTTTACAATTTGTATTTCTCTTCCTCTCTTCTCCATCTCTCTCTCCCTCCTCTTTTTCCTCCCTCTCATCTTTTTTGCCAAACACATATACAGAGGGTGCCCCCCCAAAATGTATACACGTTTTAAGAAAGGAAAAACTGTATTAAAGTTGTAACACTCTATATGTACCAATAACAAAAGATGAATACAAGTCACGTTTGACTTCTGCAATTACGCGAGGTGCTCAAAGTGGTTACTATCAGCGTCCAGACACTTCTGATTACTGTGAACTACTGCTTGAGTAACGTTGACCAAAGCGTCCACTTGTATACGTTTTTTTGGCATCCCTGGTATTTCAATTCCCCTAAGTTAAATGCACATTTAATCTAACTCCACTCTCTCTCGCTTCCTTACAGCAAGGCTTAGCAAGTCAAATGCTATACTATTACTGTCGTATTTTTCCTAAGTCTCAGAGACATTTAGGCATGTGCTTGAGGTTGCCGAGTTCACAGACTGTGGAGCCAGGAAATGAACCCCTAGGCTGGGGACTTCAGAGCCTGTGAGCTGCTCGCTGGGCAGGCTGGAGAACTCTCGCTGGGCGCTGCCGTTCCTGTTGCCATGGACTCCTTGGGCCCCTGCAGATAATTGCACTGGAGTATCAGACCCAACTAATGATCCAGCTATTACCAACTTGGGCCTCACTTTTTAAAATAAGTGTTTCAACCAGTCTAGCCCTGAGATTTAATAGCCGATATTGTATGCACATTAAACACCAAATGATTGTTAACATATTTATTGAAGCTTAACAGGCATCCAGTATATAAAAGATGACTCTCTTATATGGCTGTCAGACCTCAATAAACATGTTTAATAATTAATTGGCATTAAGCAAACATAATTGTGTGATTCTAAATTAAGTGTTCAGTGAAGCATATTGTGAATGGAAAACCACAGTGGTGTTTTATTACTTAAAGTTCAGGCTGTCAGTCTGGCTTTTCATATGTCAAGAAAAGAGCCCTACTTTCAAAGCCATGTCGCAGGCCTCCTGTTGCCTCATTCCAAAAAAAAAAGCAGGAGCCTACCTGTTCCTAGACCCTTTGATTTAAGAAATATTTCTTATTTGGTTAGCTGTTTGTTTTTCTCTATGTCAACTTGGGGTTCTGAAAGCCTTGAACCAAGAAATTGTGCAACATGAAAGAATTTTCACACATCAGCTTTCAGTTGAATTAACCAGTACTGCGGCCACCCCAACACACCTGCCACCCCCAATACAGTTGATTCTCATTATTTACTGTAGTTATATTCTCTAATGTCACTGCAAACACTGAATTAGCGAACACTGAACCACTGCTCCTAGGGGAAATACAGGATTAGATTTGTCAACCCTGAGAAAGAAGATGCCTACTGAAGATGAAGGGCTCTTGTGGCTAACTGGGCCCAAATTTACAAGCAGAGCCTAGCAGCTGTTTCTAAAAGGGCCTCTCACGCAAGCCACACTTTAGGGAGAAGCCTGCACTAAGCTGCCTGCCTGCACTGTGTTCCCACCTGAGCCAACCCTTATAAAGGAGTTCCAGGAATCACATTTCCACCAATAAGACTGAGAATTTCCCCATCCAATTGAAGCTGTGCAGCCATATCCCCCATTAGCATTTTCACCAACCAATCACAGCAGCTCTGTTCTGATCAACAGGACAGGGCTTTTTGGACTAATCAAACTATGAGGATTTGGAGTCTTCATTTGCATGAGGATGGACCTATCTGGGTCCAGGGTGGGAGGACTTCTCTCTATGTTAAAGTCAGTTTCCCTCTGAATCAGAGAGTACCCTTGCCCTTTCCACCGAAGGTTGAAGACTGAGTCTCCTGGCTGGAGCTGAAACACTGAAGACATCTCCCTGGAGCAGAGCAGAGTAGAGCTGCCTTGTCCCAGGTTGGCCTTACCCCCAGATCCGCCTCACAGCTGTGCTGTTCCACAGCCGTGCTGCTTCATAATTGATCTGTAACACTACTGAGCTGTTCTCACTGCCATGCTGTATCTCAGTTGAGATATTTGCACTGAATAAAGTTTCCTTCTTCACTGCAACCCCAAATTGGGGATCCCTGTTGGTGTTGAATTGACACCAACCATGGGTTGACAAGTTCTTGTGAGCCTCTGGTCACAAAGTTTTTGTCAATGGATGAATGTGTAATGATATTCTAGGTGTGTCTCATTTCTGCTTAAAGTCACATTATTTCACGTATATTGTTGATTCATTAACACTGAGCTTACTAGCACTGTAATTTGCACCTGATTGAAGCTTATCTAATGCATGCACTCTCTCTAAGATATTCCACAGTCTTCATGTGCTGAGGAACACTAGACAGCGCTTCAGCACTACCCATGGGGGCTGTCTTAAACAGCAAAACACCAACAAAAAAGCTTGAAAATATGTGGGGGGGCGGGGAAATGTGGCACTAAATAGACAGCAAAACGGATGCCTGTGTACAGTAGAGAGCTAAAACAAGAGGCAGAGCATCACCTTGCTCAACTTCAGTTAAGAACCTGGCTGATGGACGAGTCATGCTTTTTGCAGCTCTGCACTTGTCCTTACGATTTTTTGCACATGATTCAAAAGTACCATGAGTGCTAATTTTGAGATTAGCATATACATTTGTGCAACATTCTCAAGTACAGAATCCCTGAGGAATGCGGCTCAATCGTAATCAGATTCCATGAAGGACAGCCGTCTGTATACGTCCTCTGCCAGGTTTTTGTATAAGCAAGCCTGCCTGCTGCCTGGAACATTTTCTGCCCAGTGAATTAGTGAATAGTAGGTACACAGTAATTCATTGTCCAGTTCAACCGAGTAGTTTTCAAATAAGGCCCAAACTTGATGCTATTTGAAAATGCTCTTTACTTTTCTTTCATCATCATCTCTTTCAAAGCTCATTGCTGTTTTTATTTCAATCTAGTTCATAGTCTACCTCCTTGGCTTTTAACTTTCTCTCACATGCCCCTAAATCCTTCATAGAATTGAAAATAAAGCCATTTTCTCTACTGGCAACGAATCCCTCAAAACTCCTGCAGGAATAAGGAAGAGTGTGCTTCAAGCAAGCACTGCTAGCTGAGTCAGATCTGTGTGACAGCGAAAAACTGTCCCCAGGATCTCATCCATAGAGGAAGCCCATCCACACACACCCTACAGGGAGGCAGGGGAATAAGGCTTACAACCTCTTTAGAAGAAGCATCTGGAAGCAGTGCTGCAACTCTAAAAAGTTACTCTCGTAGCAGCCTGCTTGGCACTAACGGGCATGTGCAGGATCCTCTGGGACCACTGGGTCATCCTGGGGTCTCGCATCGTTCCCACCGTGGCCCTACCTAGAAGGCGTGGAGCTGCACGTAGACCTTAGTCCTGGAGTCTGGGGAAGCTATGGGCTCTGTGGGGATCCTTTGGAAAATTCCATTTCTGAAGACTGGAGTATTATCCCTGAGGATTTCAAAACATATAAATAAATGTATGTTATGAAAGCCATGGGTACTTTCTTTAAAAGTTAGAAAACGAAGAAAAGAACCGATAGCATCCATAGTCTCTCCATCGCCTAAACATACACATTTTAATATCTAGGGTATTGGGTCTTTTTTTTTTCTTTTGTGCATGGCTTCTCAGTATAATTTTAATCATACTGCCTATAAAAGTTACTACTATGCTTTTTTTCCCGCTTAACGTGGCCTCTTGAACATGCGTGGTATTACATAGTTCACATCACCTTCATTTCAAACAGCTACAAACTAGACCATTGAGTCATTGAATTATAGTTTACTAACAACTCTGCTATTTTAGGCATAGTTTCTAATTTTGTTTTTTTTTTTTACTCTTTCTACAAGTAATAGCGCAATCTACTTTCTCTTTTTCTCCTAAAGCTAGTCCCTGTCTGCGATTATTCTTAGCCCAGATTGTCAGAAGTAGTTACTGGATCATTGAGTAGGCACATTTTTAAGGCTCTTGATAATATAGCCCCATTTGTTAAAAGTATGGAAGCTTGCCCATCTCAGCATGTGTTATTTTTTAATATTTGCTAAGTTTAAAAGAAACCCAGTTTGTTTCCTTACCATGGCTATGCTACATAGGCCATCTCCTTTCAAATGCCCAGACCTGTGTTCCTATTAGTCTTATACCCTGTATGCATGCACACGTGTATGTGCATGCATGTACAAATACCATATATATATATATATATATATATATGTATATATATATATATATATATATTTTTTTTTTTTAGCTGAGCCATCCTGCCACCTGTTGGCAGCTCGGCGGCAACTCAGCTCGGACCGGGCATCGAACTACTGTTGCTCAGAGCTCGCACTCTTGTGCGAGCTCTTAACCAACTGAGCCACTCGGCCGGCCCCCTACAATATATTTTTTAAATTCATGATATTAGCAAGAAATGTCTTTGTCTTGTCCTTTTCCCCAACATGCCTTGAAAAATCTTCCAAAAGTGTGCTTGGGTTTTTGTTTGGATCTATTCATTTTAAATCTCTCTCTCTCTCTCTCTCTCTCTCTCTCTCTCTCTCTCTCTCTCTAATGGAAAATGCAGCTCTTGAGGATGACAATTGCCAAACAGAGGCTTGGAGATGAAGAAATTGGTGTGCGGCACTTTGCAGCTCATGAGCGTGAAGACTTGGTTCAGCAGCTGGAGAGAGCAAAGGAACAGGTTATTGCTGACATCTGTTAGGAGTGGGGGCTGGGTCTGCACAGCTGGACGCAACACAGAGAAGAATAGATTGTGTCCCTGTCACTCAGAGAGTAGGGGGTGCCTGGGACGTGAGTCAGAGGAGGAGGGATAGAACTGAAAGCTTTTCCTTCCCTGTACTTCACTACATTCCCAAGCTGCCTCTTATGTTTCTGGCTTCCAGCAGGTCTGCCCTGTTACTTTCGGTGCCATTGCTCTGAACACAACAAGACACCCCCCGCCTGCCGCTGCACCCCCACCACCACCCTTGCCCTTACCCAGGAGGCAACAAAACATGACAAACTGGCTTTAATTTGCAAGTTTCTGCTGAAATGCTGAGCAATGCTTTTTAGGCAAAACCTCAACGGGTACAGAGCCTGAGTTAGGAAACAGCTAAGAGGGCCTAGACTCCACTATCTTTCTGTTGCTAATTGCTTTTGAAGAGCTGAACAAGATTTCTGGGTCTAGAGTGGTGGTTTGCAAAAGCATGTATTTGTAAGGCACTGACTGCTGTTCCCAGTGTCTGAATTTGCCCTCTCTGAGGCTCTGGCTTGAGGGCATGCTGCCGTTGGTAAGGGATCGCTTCTGTTTTTCCACGCTACTGCACACATCCCATCTTAGGTAGAGTAAGTGTCTGGCAGGAAGTTGTCCCCTTCTTTCTAGCTTTTATTGTATTCCGGGGTGTGGTGCTTGCAGTTTTATAGCATGCGGGTGGTATTAATAAGCTCTCTAAAAGTCAGTCATCCAAGCGGATGGCTCCATCTCTGGCCATAAAACCAGTGTCTTTAGAACATCTTGAGTAAGGGCACTGCCTTTGATTTCAGATCGAGTCTCTGGAGCATGACCTGCAGGCCTCGGTGGATGAGCTTCAGGATGTGAAAGAAGAACGGTCTTCCTACCAGGACAAAGTGGAGAGGCTCAACCAGGAGCTAAACCATATCCTGGGCGGGCATGAGAACCGCATCATCGACGTGGACGCCCTGTGCATGGAGAACAGGCAAGTGGCCAGGCCCAGGCCTGCCCTCGGGCAGAATGCTGGCGCTCCGCAAGCCTGCAGGCTGGGAGTTATCTGCGGCCCTATTCACCTTTGAGAAAATTGCCTTACAATGAAAGGAAAGTCACCACCCCCAAAGCAATGCTATTACTGTCACGTATTAGTTGTAAAAGTCAGAAAAGAAGTGCTACACACCTACACACGTACCCCTTTCTCTCGCCCTAGTTGGGGGAGAAGGGTAGGGAGCCAGTGAAAGCTGCCGGTTATTGCGATCAAGGAGAGAGAAAAAGAATAAGAAAATAAATTGAGAAATTCCCTTAGCTGTTTCTTTTCCCCGAGGCCAATTTCAGTGTGTGTATGTGTTTGACTTAATGTTATGTCTGGTGTCGCCTCTTCCTGCCTTCCTTCCCAGTGGAATCATCTTAATGAGAATTATGTGAAAACTGTGTTGATATCCCTTAGGGGATCTCTGCAGAGGGCCCTTCTGAAGTGGGGTTTGTGTGATTTGGGCATATTTGACCTTGATCACATCCATTTAAGCAGAGGTCACAAAGATGCACTTCTCCCCGCCTCCCTTTAGGTGGTGAGACGGAAGCATGTGTAAAAGATGGCTCTTCGGCAGGGCATGTGGTTTTCCTTTCTCCTCCTCTCCTGTCTGAGTGTATGGTTTTTATTGTGTCCCCAAACACTTCCTAGTTGTATCTGGTTTTTTTCCAGGTACCTTCAAGAGAGATTAAAGCAACTGCATGAAGAGGCCAACCTCTTGAAATCGAACATTGCCAAATACAAGGTAGCAGGATCATGACGACAACTGTGATGATTCACTAGTGTACATCTAAATGTTATTCTATTTTAATTCTCTTTTATGTGCCAAAGATATTTTAGTGCTTGCCTGCCCTCCCAGAGAGAGGCCAGTAAGAACTTCACTGAGGGTGACTGGTAAGAATTAAACCCAAAACAATAAACAGAGCAAAACAGCTTTTGCAAGATCTCCTTCTGTCGCAGTTATCAGGACAGGGCGCACGGAGACCCCCAGAATCTGGACATGGCCACTTGACAGCCTCCATCCATATGAAATTAGGCTTCTTACCTGGCTTGTCTATGAAACATCCTGTCATCAGATGCTGTTTGTCTCATAATCATCCATAAGAAAATGGTTCCGAGCCATGAAGAAACAAAGCTTGGGAAACCACATTCTAAACAATAATGTTCACGTCACACTGAAACGACTGTTTAAATTCTCCCCACTGTTATGTAGTCTAATTCCAACACCATTAGTTTGATAATATCTATTTCTGCAGATGTTACTTGTAAATGTTATAATTAGAAAAATCTCTTGGGTTTCTCTGCTTTGAAAATAGATTGATTTCTCTTCCTGGGGGTGAAGTTTTATAGCAGTCTAGATGCTTGGGAGAGCTTTCTCGTTTTCCTGGCTTTCGACGTTGGCTTTTTTCTCAGAAGTCTCCATGCTGTACCTCCTATCTGTTCGGTGGGGGCCACACTTTAGTTTATACCAGTCTATATATACACATGCAGCCAAAGAAGAATACAGCTTTTAAAGATGTATAATTAATACATAATTTTGCAATATGTGCATATGCATTCATTTAACATTTATTCAGTTCTGTTTGCCAAGCACGGGCTATATAGTACATATCAATTTCAACGTAAGAGTCTCTCCTAGGAATGACACTTAGGTGGCACACACGCACGTCCCTTTCTCATGTCCATGGCAGATATCACTAACTGACTGTGGCTCTTTCTCCAGTCCAGCCACAGAATCCTTTCAGATGCCACTAACAATCTTTTGGCATCAGTACATGCAAGTAAACCTGTTCTCCATCTCATGGGTATTTGAAAGGGGTTTCATAGCTAGTGACCTCCACATTAGACTGAGCTCTTGTTTCAGATTTGATCATTTAACAAATATGCATTAAGTGCCTTTTATATATATGGGAAACTCATTGTTGTGGTTCTGCTGGGCACCAACTTAAACAAACAAACAAACAAACTCTGTACCGTGTCCATAAAAATCCTAACTCTTTGGCAGGGACTCAGAATTTTAAAAGGTGGGCCAGCATTTGTAATGTGCAAAGGGGTCTTGTGTGCTGGATAGGAGGATGCATCTAACCATAACTAGGTATTTTTCCACTATTGGCTTTTTTGACAGAGGTTTTTATGTTTCTCCCAATGCTGCTTTAGAATGCTCTCGAGAGACGGAAAAACTCCAAAGGCCAGGGTAAAGCCGGCAGCAGCGCTCTGACTGGGGTCCTGTCTGCAAAACAAGGTAGGGCTCAGTCTCCGGGAGGGACCGCTCACCGTCACAGAATACTAGAGCTGTCAGTGCACATCGCGTTTTGTGGACTGGGAACTGAGATGATCCTTAGAAACATCTGCCTGTATCAGAGTTGCCTGGAGGACTTGTTAAAACACAGATCGCTAGACCGCATCTCCCCCGACTCCCCCACCCAGAATTTCTGATTTAGTAGGTCTGGGGGTCCCGGAGAAGCTGTGTTCTACAAATTTCCCAGGTGATGCTAATGCTGGTTTAAGGACCCTACTCTGAGAACCACTGCCTTAGAGGTTTTCCTAATGTCTGGTCCTCATTTGCATCCTTTCCTGTGCTCTCCTCCCAAGAATGTTTTCCCTTCTCTCTGATCACCAGTTTAGTTTCTTCGAGTACATGTTTCAACCTCATCGAATGTCTCTTTTTCCTGGCTGCTATGATCAGTATAGAAAAGTCTCAAAGCTGCTGAGTCATTTTATCATGGAACATGTGCCTTTTTTCAAAGAAGCATTTATTGATTGCAATTTTGTTCCTCCTCCTTGTCAATTCCGATGAAAAATAATGATCTTCCAGGAACAGTCCAGGGGAATAAATAGCTTAAAGCTTGCTTCTGACACTTAATATTTGAGAACTCAGTTTTAAACATAAGCCTCAATTTGAACATGCTCGACTGGCCCACTTTTGGGTTGTTGGCAGCACAGACCAGCAGCAATCAAACGGCCATCTTAATCAGAGCTAGAGTAGCTTAAAAAAAAAAATCCCTATCTCCAGCCTACCTAATAACCAGACACTTTTCCAAGCAACTACTTTTTTCATTCCACTAGAAAAGGACACCCTACAATTGTTTTTAAAAAGAAAACTACAACGCTCTATAGAAATGTGAAGTAGCCCATCTAAGTTTAGTTTTGGATACTCTTGATAGCATGGCATCCTTGAATGACGAGACCCAGTCTTATAACTGCCATGGGGAATATTAGCCATTCTCAAACACCGTGGCAGACCAGTCAATCTGGCACAACCTTTTGGCAACCTATTATGAAATGCCTTAAACTGATCCCCTTTGAGCCAACAAGAAATAATTACAACATAGGAAAACATTTTGCTTCAAGAAATTTCATCCTATATGAGTTATAACAAAAAACATTCGAAACAACACAAATATCCAGAAGTGATTAATTATTATATAGCTATATATGAACTACTAAGCAGCTGTTACATTTTATGTTTTAGGAAATATTCATGATAAGGCATCAGGTTAAGTGAAAAAAGCAGAGCTTTTCCCCAGTTTTGAGGAAAACTGTATGAATTTGTACATCTACCTATAGTCATATAGGAAATAGTGTTCAAAAATATACAGTGATTTAAACTGTTTCTTTTTCTTTTTCTGTCTGGTAGGAGTACAAGTGGTTATCTTTTTGTGTTATCTCTTAGTTTATCTACCCTTTCTAAAAACGTGCATATACAAACTATATTTTGTGGTTTAGATAGTCTCTGTAATTATCTTGCTACCCACCACACTCTGAGAAACTCTGATATAAAGCAGGGCTAGAGTCGTTGTCATTAGCACGGCTGTGGGATGTTCAGCCAATGTTTTTAATCCATCTGCACTTTGCTTCCCTGTCCACCAAATAAGAATAAATAAATACTACTTCCCAGGTGGATTTTTGTTGTTGTTAATTTTATGTCTCAAATGCATTAGTCAGTATGAAAGTGTTTTCAAATTGTAACATACTGGAAAAATGCAACAGATTATTGTCCTTTTAAAAATTGTTGATAAAAGTCCATGAGGACTTCCTCCATCCAGATTAACCCGCACACTAAATTTTATTTTGTTTTATTTTTGACACTAGAAGTGGACTCTTCAGTACAACATAGTGGCATATAGAAGCTGTGTATCTATCATTACCCAGGAAGAACTGACACTGGCTTGCCTTTTAGATGAATTTAAGACTGAGTTGTAAATTTTATATCCTACCCAGTTCAGGATCTGTTATCTGAGGATCATGGATGTAGTCTCCCAGCTACTCCACAGTCCATTTCTGATCTGAAATCTCTGGCAACAGCCCTGTTGGAGACGATCCATGAGAAAAACATGGTCATCCAGCACCAGAGGCAGACCAACAAGTAGGTGACTGGACCCTTGAGTGGGGGATGGGCAGGAGATATGTGGGGTGACGGCAACCGGGTGGGACTACAGGCCTTAAGGGATGAGAGTGAGACCTCTGAACTCTGGAAGGAAACTTATTAAACTAGGACTATACTTCTGCATTATGACCTTGATTGTCAGCTGGAGTCAAACAAGCAAATAATGCCGATCATTGTTTATTGAATGCTTTCTCTGAGCCACTCACTGAGTCATGCATATTACATGGGTAATTTTGATAGTATACTTTCTGGGTCACTTAGGCTACCTCTCCCCAGGTCTCCTTTAGGGACGGTAACTCCTGAGTGCCAGTGTTTCCTACAGCATGACCTTGAGGGGCTCTGAATGCCAAGCATCAACTCAAAGGCAGCTGAGCCTACAAGGGAGTCCCATGTCACTCTTCAAAATCAGCAAAAGATGATGGAAAGGAACAATAAATAAAGCACAATGTCTTATTTGGTTATTATAAACATACTGATTGACTATGTTGGGCAAAACCAAGCAAATTAAAGTAGCCATTAGAGACTACAGAAGCAAAATCACAAGTGTTCTGAGAATGGTGAATAAACAATAATTTAAAGCAGCAAACACTGCAAACAGAGCTGACTTCATGGGCGAGCGACCCATTCAATTGCCGGGGAGCCCCATGCTCTGAGGGACCTGCACTTGGTCTAATGCTCCTGACACCATCTTGAAACTCTTCATCATTTCTGAGCAAAGGGACCCCACATTTTCATTTTGCACTGGGCCCTGCAAATTATGTAGCTGATCCTGCTTACATGATCTACACGCAGAACCCAAATGAAAGTGTGGAAGAAGTGAGGCAGGCACCGAGAGGCTGGGCTTCCAGCAAGAAGGGGAGGCATCAGGGAACCAGGAGCCTGGTGAGGCAACTGAAAAATGATTGAGAGTATTGTAAAAACAAAATAGGAAAAAGAGAAGACAGGAGTGAAGGGAAGATCGCACAGGAGATTAAGATATATATAAAAGAAGGCAGAGATCAGCGGAGGGAGTCTGGGCAATCTCCAAGGGATGACAAGGGTAATTTATTGACAGAAGAAGTTTCAAAAATTCTTTTAAAAGAAATCTTAACCAAGGAATGAAACAGCCAGAGGCTGAAATGCAGATGCTTCTCAGGGGAGAGGGAGGGACTGGGAACTCTCCCCAGAATAGAGATGAGATCTAGCTTATTCAGGCAGAATCCCTGCAGCCTCAGTGTTCCCTTCTTTGCTCCACCCTATAAAGCACCTCGCAGGCATTTAGCTTCTAAATGATGGTCTGTTCTTAGTGGGTGACCTGAGCCCTTCTTTTACTGAGAAATCAGAGGCTGCTCATCATGAGCCCCAAAACTTGCTGCCCCCCCCAAAACCAGTGTCTCCCACACCCCTCACCCTCTCCTGTCTCAGGGAAACATGCCATCTTCCCTCTTCTGGAGCCTGCCTGGCTCCCCTGTGACTTCCTTTTTCAATCTTTTCTACCTCTGCTCCTCCTCTGGCTTCTGCCTAGTCACCTAGAAACCTCGCAGCTCTTCAGGAACCCCCAAAGCCTTGCCTAAATTCTGCAGCTGCCCAGGCATTACTCTCACTTTGAAGTCTTATGAACAAGGGGGCCACCTCTACTTCCTTCAAAGTGTGTTCTCGGGGGCACCTATGTTAGAATTACTTGGAGGGGGTGCCTGCTGAGAAATATAAATTTGAGGGGTTGAGAAGGGAATGCTGGAATGCTGGACTTTTGCAAGCCGGGGTGACTCTATGCACAGGAAAGAAAGATCAGTTCAGCTGTAATACCTCCCAAGACCTCTTCCAGTATTTTCCACTGCCATCTTCCTTAGAAGGTCACCAGTACCCCGAAACTCCACCTTCTGAGTCTTCTGTCATTTCTCTACATCCACATTCCCATCTTGAAAGCCATCTTCTTGGATTCCTCCAACTTTCTCTGCTGCCTCAGTTTCTCCTCCCTCCTGTTCTTCCCCTCCCTCCCACCCCAGGACCCTTCCTCCACTTTTTTTTTTCTGTCAGTTCTCAAGGACCACATTCTCCGCATCTTTGCCTCTCGTTTGCTGCAGACTCGTCTCAGAACACTTTCCCCACCACCCCATCAAGTGCAAGACCCACATTCCAAACTGGACCATCTATTCCTTAGTATGTTTTAAGACACTTGAAACTGCTGGTACCCTTTAACCCAGAAGGGTCTGCTTCTAGGAATTTATCCTAATGAAAAAAATCAGAATGACACCCTAAAATTTACATGTAAGGTGGTTCATTGTGGATTCATTTCTAAGAAAAATGGAAACAACCCAATGATTTTTAATTGGAAAATGATTAAGATTATAGTAATTCCAAAAGATAGAGTATTATGCAGCCATTTAAAGCATGATTTGAAGAAGGTTCGATGGGCTCTGCCCACCATCCTAACACCCAGGTTTGACAAGTCTCCATGTCACTTCAGTTTAAGCTGTCCCAAAGCCAGAAAGTTTGTCCCTCTCAGTCACTGTTCTCTCCTGGTGTGTAGGACAATGCTGGGCCCACACTGGATGCTCATGACTATTTGATGAATGGATGATTGAATTATGTCCTTACCTTTTGTTTCTGTTTCCTTCATACAAACACCCAAATGATCACTAAGCTTTATGATTTTCATGCATTCATTTATTCAATATGTATTTCCTGAGTATTCACCATGGGCCATCCGTGCACATCTCCTACCTGCCCCCTCTGCTTTCCTCCAATCAAACGATTGCCTCTTCCTTGGGAAGACCCTTCCATCAACTGTCCAGCCTCAGACTGCAGCCGTGCCTCCCCCACCACCTACCCAGGCACTCCCACACCCACCTGCCCACCACAGGTCTGATCACGTCACAAGCCTCCACTGAAAGGCCAGGCTGAGTCCCCACTGTCTGCCAAACACGGTATCCACACTGCCGTTGACCTGACACTCCCACCTGTCTGACGGGTTGATTCCCTGATGCTTCCCTAACATGTCCCACTGCAACCATAAGCATTCCCAAGCTCCATGGGCTCTCACCTCTTTTGAGAAACATTGATACTTGCATTTTGCCAGGTTTAGTTTTGCTTTAATACACTTTTTCATTTTTAACAATTATTGAGTACTTTAGAACCATCTCGTGGTTCCGATTTTAAAAGGTTGGACAATACACAGCAGGTTCTTGAATAATGTCATTTCGTTCAACGTTTCATTATAATGTTGATGGCTTGCATAAGAACTTAACTCTTGTTTATGTCAGTTATCCTATGGTAAAATTGGCTTTCTTTTATGTTGTTTCACTTAAAGTCAAAGAACTTATTGAGGATGTTGAGTAAGGACTTACTGTATCTCCAAACTGCTGCTAGCTCTCAGCCACCCTTCCTGGAAGAAACCGCCATTTCTCATTTTTTATGGAGCCTTCCAAAGGATGCATGAATATGCCAATGCAGTACATACATGTATTTATATAGACACACATAAATACTAATATGTATTTAAGTAGATATAGATATTCTGTGGGTTTTGGGTTTTGTCTTTTTGTTGTTTTTTTTTACAAATAGTAGCTAGTATACACAAAAAAAGCTTTTTCACTGTTCTCTACTTTCCCTGTAACAGTAGATCTTGAAGACTGCGTCATATCAGCACATAAAGTACCTAATGTGCCATTTTTAATACTTAGAGGGTCTTAAGTTTCATATTTTCAATACGTATGTTCTTTGGGAGCATGTAAAGAAACTAATTATACAACCAATGGAGTGGGGGCTAAGAATAGAATCTGTATTTCGCCTGGTTGCTATTATCCCCCATGATATAGCCTCCTGTAATGAAAATGATAAAATAGCTTTGTTTCAGTGGAGCATGATAAGTAGGAATAAAGACATTCTCTTCTGTAAGTGTGTTTTCTACTGCCTGACAGTTACCACCCGCCCCTTAAGAAGGTTCAATGGGGGCCATCTTGCAGAATTGATGAGTAAACCCAGGGCTTTACATTTTGAGAAGATGTTCAATTAAAAGGCATTTTGCTTGAGGTACTTGTTGCCAGAGAGTTGGCAGTTGTCTGACTATTGCTAAAGAAGAGATGAGGTTCACTTGTCTTGTAAACAGATGGCAAAGCATTTATAGAAGAGGCAGATGTTAAAGTGCTGTTTCACTAAACACCACACTTAGTTCTCCTGTCCTTCCCAGTAAACCATCGCTTTGCCAGTGGTGGGGTGGGGGTGGGGTGGAATTTATAAGGACATGCTGGCCTTTTGTTCGCCTTCCTGCTATGCCTAAAACTGTTCACTCCTCTTCCCCTTCCCTGGCCAACGCTAAATGGCTTGCAAGTTCAGGATCTTGGTGGCAGCATGAGCTGTCATGGAACAGAGCAGAGATTCAAAAGAAGGCCACCTGGGGTAGAGGTTGGGGGCAGAGTTACCTCCAGGTCTGTGAAGAGCCAGAGCCACCTGCTTCCTCTTCAGGCCCTGGTTGCTCCGAAGGACCCTCGCTCAGGGATCCCTGCTCCCTGTGGTGGCCAGAAATCAAGGCCAGAGGCACAGTGCGGGCCAGTCCCGGAGTGCCTTCTGTCTTTGCAGATCCCCTCTGCTGTTGTTATTATTACAAACCACTACTGAAAATCCATCCAGAGGCCTGGCATCTTCAGGATTTTCCTAGAGTACTAGGTGGACATATGCTGAAGTCTCCCCTGTCTTAAAACAAACTGTAGCTAAATAAAAATTTTATTTAAAATCTCCCCTATCCTACAAAAAAAAAATCCCTTTTCCAGCCTGTTTATTCCTCAAGCTACTGCCCTAGCTGTCTCCTCCTATTCCCTACACTACTTGAAGAGGCATGGAGTTCACTGCCTCAACTTTCTCCTTGTCTGTTCTGGCTCATCTCTGTCACTTGAATTCCGGATTTCCCTACCTCCATTGTCCCAAAACATTTCTCTCAAGGGTCGGGCACATCTTCTAAGTGGCCTCTTCTAAACTTTCATCTAGAAGTGTGACCACTTCTAGAATAAGACAACACTGACCACGCTGTCGCACCAGGAATGCTGTCTTCCCTTGGCTTCCACAGACCCACGTTGCCTTGGTTCTCCTGCTCTGTCCCAGCTCTGTGTCCCCCGTCCTTTCTTGCCTTACACAGTAGGTGCTCTAGTTTCCTGTTCTTCTGACTCCTCCCACTCTGTTGGTGTGTAGATTCACTCCCCCAAGCTTCTCATCTTCACACTCGCAGATCGCTTCTTTCTCCCGTATGTCCAGATGGATATCCTATAGACACCTCAAAGAACTCACCTACCTCCTTATTGTCTGTTGTCCCATTCCTTTGGCTTCCCTACATCCCCACTGGCTTGTTCTTGTCCACCATCATCACCGGCCTGAACAATACCCTTCTCACGGGTCTTTCTGCTTTTATTCATATTTCTTCCAGTCCCTTCTCAACTCCGCATCAAGAATGCTTTTCCTAAACTTCATTATGCTGCTGCTCTGCTTAAAACACTTCAGTATCTCCCCGTTGCCAATGTATAAGTCTCAACATTCTCAATATGGCAACGAGATCTTGGTGATCTGGGGCCCTACCAGCCACGCTGGATTCATCTTTCATTTACTCTTCACATCTGCTCTGCAGTTCTCCTGAAGTACTTGTGTATTTCCAGGCCGGGGTGCTGGTTCTCGCCCCTCCACTTTTTAGCTGTGTCACCCTGGGCAAGTTAATTTACTTTTTTGGATCTCAGTTCCCTCATCTACACAATTAGGATGATAAGAGACTAAGGGATATACTAACTGTGTCATGCTTAGAGTAATATCTGATGCAGAAGAAGTGATTGATAAACATCAACTGTTATTAAAGCTTTCCACTGGCACTGTATGTGTGTGTATGCATCTGTCTGTCTCCCACTAGGCTTTTAGTCCCTTAAGTATAGGAACAGGGTCTGCTTCTCTTCATTATCCCCAACAGCCTTGTTTGTGGAATTGGTTAAACTGAATTGAATGGACCCTGTTCCTACTTCAACCATCTCCCATCTGTGAACACGGCCAGCGATAAACACTCAAATAGCCTCTTCTCTCGCTGGGCTGTGTCGCACCATGTTCAGTGGACCACCTGCCATATTCTTTCAGTGTGAAGCCAATCAGGAGGCCCCTCTTTGTCATTTGAAGCATCTTGAGCTATATTTTGCAAGTCAGCTGTGGCTACATCCGTATTTCAATATGAACAGTTTTTAACGAGAATTTGCTCCAGGCATGAGAAAGCTCGCTTCACAGTGCCGTCAATTACTGGGAACTGGTTAAGAGTATTCATTTCAGAGGCAAACTGAGGCTTTGCTTCAAATCCAGACTTATTACCAGCTGAGCCTGCTTGTGGTTTTGGTCAAGTTAACTAACTTCCATGCCTCTGTTTCCTAAGGGGAGGAGTGGGGTATGGTGGATCAGAGCACTGGGGGTTGGGAAAAGACAGAACTTTGAGATGAACTATGTGTCCTTTGGCAAGTTGCTTAACCTCTCTGTTCCTTAGGGTTCACAGGTGTAAAAGGAGAGTAATCATACAATGTACACTGCAGGGTACATTGTATGGTTTTTTTGGGGGTCTGATGAGATAATGCAAGTTCAGTGGGTGTTCAGCATGGACTCTGACTTATATCCAGGACTCAGAAAAGGTTGTTTTGCTGTTTGTGTTAACAGCAGTGTAGTTGCCATGGTGATTGATACCATTACTATGACCACAACTTCTACTGGGTCCATTTCACTGCTGCAGCCCTGCATCAGATGCCCATGTCAGGCCAAAGAAGAAAGCAGTCACCACTGACAAACAGGCAGGGCCTCTGAAACTAGATCTCTGGGGACACCAGCAAGTTCACCTCACCCCATTCCTGGGACACATGGCTGTGTTGTCAGAGAACATCAGAGAAACATATTGGGTGGTCGGAAAAGTCATGACGTATTTTTTCCATGTTTTTCGTTGCAAAAATGTGTTGTGACTTTTCCGACAACCCAATACAACCCAATGTCTCTTCACCACGCCTTCTCACGTTGCCCTGATGGCATCCTTCAGTGCCCACAGAAGAGTTCAGCCTTATCTTTTGTTTCCAAGAGGCAGCCACATACAGATAATCTGATCTCGTTAAAAAACAGGTGTCAACTTGAACACTGCTGTGATTGCATCTCAAACCCATCAGCTGGTGAAAAGGGAGTTCGGATCAGAAGGTCTGAGCGAAATATTGAAAGCGAGATTACGAAGAATGGTGTTTGTTAAAGGGTCAGAGACATGAAAGCAGAATAGACCCAACAAATGGAGTGAAAATTGAAAGTAATTGATAAAGACTATGCAGAATTTAAGACTTAGGGAAAAGACGCAAAGAAAAGCTCTAAGTACCTAGATGAAGAAAATCGCATGTAATAACGTCAAAGGGTTTTTTTTGTGTGAACTCAAAGGGAATATTAATTAAGATGCTGCAAGTCAATTCAGGTAAAATAAAGATGAATTCAAAACCATATATATATATATATATATATATATAAAATATGCAGATATATACATATTCATGTCTCTGCATATATGTGGGTGTGTGCAGCTATCTCTGGAATAGAAAGACAGCCAGCAGAACAATTCTGGTATTCCGATTTCTCCTGCTGAAAGGAATTGAAACTTCGCTATTAAGGATATTTCCGCATCATTTTAGCATCAGCAGTGCCAAGAAAATCCCCCAAATAATATAAAGGCTGGTTTTTCAATTTCCAGGCCAATGAAAAGTGATTGAAGTTTTTAGATGACTATCAAATCATTTCCCAATACATTTAATTTTGTGTAGAGTAGCGGAGGTGAGTCATGTGCCCACATTTCTTTGCATGTCTTTGCATGCAAATAGACAAAGTTTGACTCCCAGGTAAACAGTAGAATCTTTCCGAATACACATTCCAAGTTATGTATCGAGTCAGAATGGTCACCTCGGAAAGGAATGTCATTATTGTAGTGACGCTGCAATTACTGAGCGTTCTTTTGAAATATCTGTTTTTTTTCTTTAAAAAAAAATTCTCTCCATTGATAATTACAAGCCATACAAAAAGCATTTATTTAATCAAATACATTTTTGAACATCTACCAGGCATTATGCTAGATATCAAGCAAGAATTAGACATCAGTATGACATAGGTTAGATCTAAGAAGGCATGCACATCTTATTATTTTATTGACTCAAAGCAATATTACCGAGTATGTTCACCCATCCTATTTGCGAGACTTGATTGTTTCCAAAACTAAGACTTACTCTCAAAGAATCAAGTTGTGATACTATTAAGGGTGTTCAAAATTAACTATCGTTTTTAACAATGAGCAATTTCCAAATAGAAATTCTGAAAGACATTTGGGCAGTGGTGGAATAATTGTTTAACTACCTTTATGGGAGAGACTCACTTGAATGGCAACGTTTGGTTTTTTTTTAATTATTCACTTTATATTTTCATGTGTACTTTCAACAGAGTATATATGTGCATATATTATTCACACACACACACACACACACACACACACACACACAGTCTCCATTTTTCGCATATATATTAAACCTCAAAATATTTTCTCTCTGCTTTGGCCCTAGTGGGTTTCTCATTAATCTGTGCTGCCGTTTTCTCCCCTTTCCCAGAATCCTAGGGAATCGGGTGGCTGAACTGGAGAAAAAATTAAGAACTCTGGAAGTTTCTGGTTTGTGGAGTCTTCCAGGTAAGCAGAACTTCACGAGAACTGTTTTCCTTTTCAAGGTCCTTATATTTGAAGATCTTTGCTAAGAAATCTACAAGTGTTTTAAACTTAGAAACCATCATTTTGGGAGGAAATAAGAAAAATACAGTAAACATGCAGGTTCTCATCCACCTAAGTATAAAGTTTTGCTAACCTAAGTCCTGAAATTGTCATTGTGTGTGTCTGTATGTGGTTTTGTGTTGTTTTTTTAATTTGGTGAATGTAGTAAATTGCTTCATTTTTGTTACCCATAGATTTGTTGAATTTAATCATTGGTCCTAAAAATGAGTGTAAGAATATACAAATATTTGCTCATTTTGTCAGTGCTAAAAATGAAAATAAGAAAAAGCAAATGTTCTAACTCAAATGCACTTTACAACCTCCCTCTCTTCCCCCATCCCATTTTTTACGTAGCTTGAAAATCAAAATTTCCTGTGGAGATTTTTTTCAGTTTCACACAGTGGGAGGAAACGCTGATATTTTACTTTAATTAGCTATATTTACCCCATTTAGCTTGGTAAAATATCCCTTCATGAGACACCCCCCCCCCGTTAGCTATTCCATTTTTCTTCACACTCTCCAGAAACTTGTATATATTGTTTTCCACCACCTCCTCTTCCCCCTGGAAGCAACGTATATTTGTAGTTGCTTAACCTGTCTGCACAAACTAGTCTCCTCTAACCTTGATTCGTATCAGTTGCTTCCCTGTAACAGATAAGAAATGAAAATTGCCACAGGGACGTGGACAACAACACGTTTTCTTAATGTAAATCTGAATAGCTGCCTTAGGTTGCCTGGAAGTGTGTTTCATAAATTGGTATTTTTAGAAGAGATACCTTGAACTTGTTGTCAAAAGACCTAACAGAACTAATTAGTGGCGAGTGCCATCCTGGGGATTTGAATGAGCCATTTTGAACAAGAATCTTTTGATGCGGTTAAAACCTTATCTTCTTTGAAGGCCTTTCTTTTATTGCATTGAATTTCAACACAGTCAGGCAAATTTATTGGTTATTTGTGCAGTCAGATTGCTATTTCTGTGCATGTACTGGAGTTTTGATTTTTTTTTTTCCCTCTCCAATGACTTAGTGAAATTTCACAATGTTTTATTTCTACAACTTATGTAAAAAGCTGGAAGTTGAATAACTGAACAAATGCTGAGAATTTTCTATCTCTGGTGTTGTATGGTCTAGGTTAGCATGGCTGCTATGCAATAACCATTTTTTTTTCCTTCCTTTTGCTGCCTGAAGGCCTGAGCTACAATGTTTCAGTAGGATTTGGGAGTATGTTCTATTTGAAATATCTGTGTTTGTGGCTTATATCAACAGTGCGTTAATACCATCCTTGCATGAAAATAGATGGAAATGCATTCTCTATGTATCCTTGCAGTTTCCTGATTAGAACAGTCAATCGAAATAGAGAATTCAATTAGTACCAAGCAAATATTAAATGGTAAAATTAGCTCCGAGGGACCCAGCTGAATGGATTTGATGCCATGGTCATGTTTGTTCTAATCTCTGGCCTCCACATAGACACAAAGTAGGAGGCCAGGGAAAAGAGTGGCAATTTCCCAGCTATGACACAGTTTATGTAACAATCACATGTCCCTGGTGCCGTGATGAAGGATGCTGCAATGAAGCGTCGCCTTATGATCATCCTCAAACCCTGGTGAAAATAAGCAGGGATGGGCCTCTTCCGGCGGAAATCAGGCCAGTCCCTCTGTCTGCTCCTTGTTTCATGGCTGCGTTTAACCTACTGCATAGTGGAACAAGAGGCAATATGTTCTTTTCCTTCTCTTCCACTTCCTCCTCCTCCTGTTCATCCTCTTCTTTTTCCATTTTTCCCTTCTTCCTCTTCTTTCTCTTCCTCTTTCTCTCCCTAAGTAGGAGCCAGATCATAGTGTTTCAGCCAACTGGAGGGAACCGCGCCTCTGTGGTTTCAAAGACTTGCTACCACGCTCTTATTTACGATCATCCTGAAAGCATCTGTGTCTGCGCCAATAAGTCATTGTATCAATATACCCTTCTGAGCATCAACTTTGTGAGTTTAGTTCTGTACCAAGCATTCTAGACATGCCCCTCACCCTCTCCAAGAATCCACAGTCCCATTAGGGAAACAAGATGAATATGCAGCAAGCAGTGAGAGGAAAACAAAAAATGGCACATAATTAAGTGCTGAGTGATAAAGATGTTAGTGTGTGAGGTGCCATCGAATGCTAGACCTGGAAGGGACAGTTGAGAGCAAAACATTCAAGGATGGCACACCCTTGGTGTATATTACACGACGTCCTTTTCCATGACAGTGGCAGACATTGCTAATCAAACACATCGCTCTTCTTTGATGATCTCACATGTGGTCCCCAGAACAGTCTTCCACTGCGGCTTTCCAGGAAGCCAGCCCTTGGTCTGAATTGACATATCAGAGAAAACGTTTCCTGATATAGTCTGATCCCTTTATTTTAGATAAGGAAACCCAGGAAGTTAGGTGATACCTGAGGCCACAGAGGCTGGTATTGGAACCCAAGTTTTCAGATCTTCATTTTAGGACTCCACTTGTAAAGGGGTCCTACAACCCAGGGAAGAGAGGAATGGGGTAGATCAGATCAGCTGGGGACCGGTTCACAAAGCCATTTGGATTGGAGAAGAGGACTTCAGAAGCCAGAACAATCTCCTGTGAGACCATAAAGGGCGGGGCGAAGAAGCCAATCCCTCATTATTACAAAGCTGGGCTTTGAGCATGCTATACTGTTTCTTTGACTCTCTTCTCCATCCCTCCTCACTCTCTCCAACACTGTATAGCTCCTGATGTTGTTTGATAGAGTTGGGACAAACGTGTGATCTTGCTGGGAAGTAGACACGTTTGACAAATATACCCACCTGCGTGGCGAAATCATCTGGATAGCAAAGCAGCCTCCACACTGTTTAACCAGAGGTGAAAAAGCTACAGGGCTCTGTCAAGGAAGCCAGAGTGTAGGCCGACTGACCACACCCCTCAGGAAGGAATAACCCTCCACCTTCTCCAGCCCCTACCTGTCAGCCTCCGTCTCCCAGCCCTTTGCTGGCCTCTGTGGGGAGAATGGCGCTTGGGAAGCTATGAAGGGAGATGTCCTGGATGCACTCATGCTCTAAAGAGACACACCAAAAGCCAGAAAAAAAAAATCTGGCAAGAGCAGAGCCTGGCTCTTTGAGCTTTTCGTTTTAATTTTCTCTCTTCTCCACTCGAAGCATCAGCCTGAGGAGGAAAATGTGTGTTTTGAAAGTACTTGGTACATTTCGAAGAAGGGGCTGAGGGATGTTGTTGTGAGGACTCAGGAGGGCTTCCAGAAACTCAAACACCACTTGAATGGAAAGGCCTGTGTGACCTTCTTCATGAGTTGTGGTTTGACTCTGGGTTGTGGAGCCCCCTGGCCCCACTCCTCATCCTCCAGTGCTGTAAACCAAAGGGCAACTATGAAATGGCAGACCATCAGTTTAGAGCTCCAGGTAAGTCAGTATCAATGGAATCTGGACTGAGTTAGAAACAAGAGAATTGGGAGACTTCTATGAAAGATCTTTGAATCCTTCAAATATTTTGCAAGAATAACCAAACCTTGGCATTTTGCCTTGAGGTTAGGAAATGATCTCTCCAGGCAGGCATTTCGGGAGGTGTTTATTTTCACACCAGAACCCCTCCCCCCACCCCGCTTGATTGGACATGGATGAATGGTGGCTTCTGTTTCCCTTCGCTGCATGCTTGCTGCCCAGCTTCTTGGAGGGGTTTAATGTTGCTGGTACCAGCATTTTTGAGGAGGCATGGTGAAAAGGTAATACCTTGGGGTTGGAGAGAGCCATAGAGGTCCCACCCTAGAGAACTCCTCATGACAGGAAGGGCTCAGGATCTCAGCCAGCTCCCAACTCTGCCCATAATTCTGATTCTTTGGCCACCGGGGCAGAGGGGATTTGGAAGGCTGGTTGGGACACAGAGGGGCAGACCGTGTCTCCTACTGAGTCCCCTTAAGGCTAGCAAGCTGCCAGCCTACCTGCTAGAGAACGATGGGTCAAGAAATGCAGTCCTATCCCTGACTTGAGGACAGTAACTGTTGCCTTGATGAAGAGAAACAAAAGAAGTCCACCCGGAGGCATTTGCTGTGGGTTCACGGTAGCCATTAAACCCTCAAGGTGTTTCCATATTGAATCTTTGCAGCACAGAGGGAGACCTGGTTGTGTTAACTTTCTTCTGTGAGTCTCAACAACATCCCAGTGATGCTTCTTGGGAAACCTTTCTGGACTGTGGCCCTGAAGAATTCTGGATTTTTTCCACATGAGACAATAGCGGTGCAGGCGGAGAACTTTAGGGTCAGCTCCTATCAGATTTCTATTCTTCTGAAATGACCCTCAGATAGCAGAAAAACCAGAGTGCTATGGCTGCAAATAAATACTCTGTCTGCCCAGGGCAGCAGGAAACACCCTTGCCTGCAAGACATCAGGATTCCCAGTTCGCATCCGCCATTTATTCAGACATTTATCAGATATTTATTAAGTACATATGCAAACTCTCTACTACAGCCTTGGAAATAAAGTCAAAGAGACATAGCCTAATGGGAAGACAGTGTCACAAACAGATTGAGGTAGAGTCCAAGGTTCACCTGGTTCTCCAAAGGAGTGGGCAGAGGTCTTTACACGAATAATACTCTGTGCTCTGTTGACCCTGAAACTAAGATCATAGAACTTTAGAGCCTCAGACTTGAGCCCCAGAGACATTTAGTGCCTTGGCTTTAGAAACAGTTTTGCACAGAGTCAGACAGCTAAGTCTGGAGCATAGGCTGGGTCATGGCCCGGGGGCTTTGGGGTTTTGCACAATGGTTCCCGCCAAGAGAGTCCCAGGGCCTTGTTGAACAAAGCTTGGGATCCTGCCTGTTAGGCTCTCTTGACTGCTGTGGCAGCGTCTTCTTATGTCCACATGTTTCGTGTCTGTGTTCATCATGCTCGTGTTTCCAAGCCACACTTCCCTGCTCCTCACCTCCGTAACTTGCCCTGGCCTTACAAATAGATTTATAATGGAATTTCCTCATGGCCTCCAAATTTCTCAGTCCATTTAGGGAGTTCATACAAATAGATAAAAGGGCTTGGCTGATCTGGGATTAGATGTTCTAAGTGAAAGTGTAGCTGTGGTAACTTGGGGGACCTGATACTACCTGACTTATGACACAGTTCTTATTCAATCTTAATGACCAAATCGAAGTACATTAGATATAGGATATATGGCAGGGCTGTGGAAGGTGCCTCGTCAAGCAATAATTTCAATGTAACATTTACTGAGTGCGGACTAAAATGCCTGAGCACTTTACATGGATCAGCTCATCAAAACCAGCCAATGAGGTGGGTGCTATTTGTCCTCACTTTACAGATGAGGGCTCTGAGGCTCAGAGAGGTTAAGTGACTTACCCGAAGTCACCCAGCCAACAAGTTCAGAACACAGACACTGTGGTGTGGCTCCAAAGCCTGCACTCCTAAGCACTCTGTTGTTGTTACTATTGTTACAGTCTCCCCCCTAAGAGTGCCACTCAGTTATTGGCTGACAAACAGGCTGCCCCTTAATAGTGGCATTGGAAGGCAGCCATGTCCTGAGCAGTCTCTCAGGACTCATACACAGCTGGCCCTGGACCTCCCTGCCCTGCTCTCACACTACAGAAAGGGCCTGCTGGCCATTTCACTTCCACGGTGTTACCTCCGACTGAAGAAGGTGCTGTGTTTACTCACACCAGTCCATTGTGTGGGGTGAAGGTACCCATGATTCACGGAGGACCTAATATATCCTAATTGCCTCCTTCTCCACGACAGGGGGCAAAGACACCATACTGTTCAGCGACCCCGGTCTTCCCACCATACAGCAGTCAAGATCCCCACTGCTGAAGTTCATCGAGCAGCCCACTGAGGACAAAGCGAGCCCCAAGGATGGTAAGCACACCTCGATTTCTCCATCTTTGCCTGGCGTGTGCCTGGCACAGAGATGGGGCTCCCTGGACATTGGTCGCTTCTCCTTCTTGCAGCTTCTGTGGCACTGTTGGGTCATGCCTCATGTTTCTTACATGGATTCATCTTGTTTGGGGTTTCTGGCAGAACCGCAGCCCCTACACTCTCTGCCTGGTGGCTTAGAGGTTAAGAATGAGGGCTCAGTTGGTGAAAACAACTTGGGTTCATTTTCCAGCCCGACATCATATTGGCTATGAGAACTTGGGCTTGTAACTTCAGCCTCCGTTTCCTTACCTATAAGTGACAGTGCCAACTTCAGGGCAATCTTGGCACATTGCCTGGCACGTGGTAATTGGCCTGGCATGGAGCAAAAAGCTTCCCCTGTTTCAGACATACTTTCTGGAGGCAGAGTGTTCCGAAGGGGATCAAAGGCCCATTCAGGGTGCCAGGTGAGCCAGCAGGTGTGAGAGCCAGATCTCTTCCCATTCAGCAGCCTTATTTCCCCAACTAAACTATCCTACCCATCTTTCTAAGTATGGCTTATCTTCTTCCTCCATCCCCAGTGTGGTTGCCAGCTTCCAAAATGGCCCCAAATGATCCCGACCTCCTGGTATTCATGCCCTTGTGTAGTCTCATGTGTCAGGGTTGGTCTGTGTGACTCACAGAATACAGCAGAAACGATAGTATGTGACTTCTAAGGCTAGGTCATAAAAGACATGTGGCCTCTGCCTTGCTCTCTCTGTCTCGGATCACTCACTCTGGAGGAAGCTGGCTGCCATGTCATGAGGACCCTCAAGCAGCCCAACATGTAATTCGTGTGGGGAACTGGGGCTTCCAGCCGTCAGCCCTGTGAGGGGGCCATCTTGGAAGCAGATTCTCCAGCCCCAGTCAAACCTTCAGATGACAGCAGCCCTGGTCAACATTTTGAATACAACCTCACGAGAGATCATTAGCCAGAACCACCCAGATAAACTGCTCCCAGGTGCCTGAGTCTTAAGCTGCTAGGTTCTGAGGTAATTTGCTACACCGCAGTCGATAATATACCCAGTACACGGGTGTCAAGGCTCTTTCCTTGAACATCTGCATTTCCTTTCCCTCTTCTCTTGCTCAGAGTCATGCCGTCAACCATCACCTCTATGAAAATATTTTCGAAATATGTTCCCCCCACTGGGTCCATTTTCAGAGCTACAGTCCCACATTTCCCAAAGCTAAAATTTTCCCACCTAAACATTTTATGGACTTCTCAAGTATGACACCACCAACTCTCCCTGCCTCCTCCCTTTTTTGTCACCCTCTCAGCTACCCAGGCTTGAGACCTTAGAGTCGTCGTTGACCACTGTCAGCTTTCCTTCCCCAGGCACCACATCTGGTCTTCAGCCAAACGCTTTCTTCAGAGCTTCTTGCACCTCCGTTCCTACCACCTCTGATTTGGTTCAGTCTCACTTTACCCCGTTGGCAGGGCGTCCTTCCTGGTTTTCCTGCCTCCCAGACTCTCCTTACTTCGTTCCCACCTTCATCCTGCTGCTGTAAGATGAAGCTTCTGGAGCACTGCTTGGCATCCTGTTTGTACCCTGCTCAGAACACTCCAGTGACTCCCAGCTGTCTTCCACTGAAAATCACAATTCTGAGACGCTTGCCCTAGCCTGTCTTTCTGAGCTTATGATTATCTGACATGAAAACTGTGTCTTGATCCAACTGTACTAGCCAGCTGAATAGTTAGCTATTATTGTGTAACAAACCACCTTGGAGTTTAGGACTTAAAGCAACAACTATGTATTATTTGTCACTCATCTTTGGGTCAGATGAGTGGGTCTGGTAATCTGAGCTGGGCTCAGCAAGGCTCACTCACATAGGGGCAGCTGTGTTTTGAAGCCTGTGCAAATCACTCATCATAGCGCATGGCATGGTAAGAATAGAAGACAAGACAGGTCTGGGATTTCAACAGAAAGGTTACCCCAGCACATGCGGTGAGACTTCCTGGAGAGGGCCCCTGACTTGGGTGGGTCACACACTGGCCAGAAGGCAAGGTTGGGTCTTCCCAACCAGCAGCATGTGGCTGTTTGTAAGCCTGGCCTGTAAACACACCATGGCCCATGATGCAGTCGGGAACATGTCTCAGCTAGTGGTCATCCCATGCCAGCAACCAATGCCCACATGGAAATCCAAAGCCCTCTATCTGCTCTGGGCTTGCTGAGCCCCCAAATGGGCCCGGGCCCACGAAACTGAAAAGGAGCATGAGCCTGGCTTGATTTTCACAACAGTAGCATAAGTAATGGCCTGATTCAAAATGATAGCTTCCAGAGTTCCATCATTAGCTCTCATTGTTCCAACCCCATCGTTCACCGGCACGGGTGGGAATAAGGAAGCATTTATGTAGCTGCTGTCAGTGTCTGGGATGGCCTCATCACCACTGCATCTCTGATTAACTCCAACTGAAAGCGGCTCCCACTTGGGAGGACAAAGCTCATCAGAGATGAGTTAACAAAAGAAGACACTTGTCCCATTTGGGCCAGTGGGTGGCGGGGGGGAAACCCATTTTTAGAGAACTAGCCATCTTTCCTTTCAAGAGCTCCTGTTTCTTCATCTTTTAGAGAAACCATTTGTCTTTCCACACTGTGTGTGGCATAATGCATTTGTCGATTGCCTCACCATTAATATGTGTATTGTTTTTAATAATAAGTATTAATGATACTAATTGTGTTTGCTAAAACAGCACAGAATAATTACTATTCTTTATAATAATATTTTCTGACTCTGGGCTAGTTCAGAAATCTTTCTCTTATGGAAGTGGCAATGCTATGTGTCTGTTCTCAAAGGGAAAATGAAATTCCCACCGCTTAAAAAAAATAAAATAGCAGTTAGTCTTTCAAACCAGGTAAATTGAATTAGAATGCAGTAGAATCAGAACAGACTCTCAATAGTTTAAAAAATAAATAAAACCTCAAAAAAAAATTTTCCCACCACTTAAGAGTTAACATCCCGGGGCCGGCCAAGTGGCTCAGTTGGTTAAGAGCGCAAGCTCTGAGCAACAGGGTCGCTGATTTAATTCCCACGTGGGCCAATGAGCTACGCCCGAGCTGAGCTGCTGCTGAGCTGCCAACAGGTGGCAGGATGGCTCAGCTGGTGAGAGCATGTGCTCCTAACAACAAGGTTGCTGGTTCGACTCCCTCATGGGATGGTGGGCTACGCCTGCCAGCAACTAAGATTCAGCACGGCACCTTGAGCTGAGCAGCCGGTGAGCTGCCGACAGGCAGCCAGATGGCAACTGGACTTGGAGCTGAGTTAGCTGTGCCCTCCACAACTAAGATTGAAGGACAACTTGTCTGTTCCCCTTCCCCAATTCCCCAACACTGTTCCCCTACCCCAATTCCCTAATAAAATCTTAAAAAAAAAGAGTTAATATTCTCAGAATCACAGAATTTTGCTCCCACTGCAAGACACCAGAGGACCTAGTTATAGCTCAACGGTTGTAGCATTTTCAGTAACTTTTCTTTGCCTCCGGGTAATGACTTGGGTCTACATTTTAGATACTTTTTGGATAAACAAAAGTGGGGAGTATGTTGGTAAATCCTGCTGTTGACCCATAATCCAACCCTGGCCCCTATTTCTTTATGGTCCTGAGGCTCTGAAAAGCTAACTTTTCTCAGAAAAACAATATCCCTGATAGAACTAAACAATTGAATTACAGCCTTGTCCATTCCCTTATTACAGCTGTGTTTTGACCGATAATGATAACAGTGTTGCTCCCCGCTCCCAGTACCCAAAAAAGAAAAGCTTAAAAGTTCCCCCAGCTAATCTCAGAGGCTTGCCATTAAAAAAAAAAAAAAAAGATTCACATTTGGACATGAGCAAAATGTCACCTAAAGAAATGGCACAGGACAAAGCACCAGCGACCAGAAGTCCCCAGTGTAATTTAGACCACACTCTCACTTAGATGTAAATTAAGGTAGGGATTAACCTGACCCATAATAAGAACTCTACGAATGGTCTAGGGGTTCGGTTGTTACTGGTAAGGTTAATTAATTTTTCAGGGGCACCCGAATATACTAGTAAGTGTGCTGGAAGAAGTAATGTCATAAGAGTATTTTCCAGCAGGAGTTTATTCATCTGACACCGGTGAAAAATTTAGCTGCAGAAAAGACCATCATTTACTCCTTTTGAATAAAGCTCCTCTCACTATGCGGGAAACTTGCTCATTTTGACTTAGTGTTTCCCCGTCTCCTATTCAAGCACTAGAAAAATTTTCATTTCTTAGTATGAAAATTAGGCGATGGCTTCTCTGAGCTACTTCAGATGTAGCTAAATGTTTGTGCGAGTTAGAAATCTTTTTACTGAAAATGCCGTTTTAAGAACTTATAGGGTAACCACCTCAATGAAACCTAAAATAAATACCAAAGTTTCAAGGATTGCTTTCATTTATTAAGTCATAGTATTTAAATATATGTACTAACATGCTCATTTATCCTTGCATTCATGTATATGTCCATAGATTCAAACATTTAATGAGCTATTGATTGAGCCTCCCCTATAGAACAATAAAAAATGTTCCAAGTTAAAAAATGAATCAAGTTAAAAAAATGAATCAAGTAAGATTTTATACTTCAGGTGGGTTTTATAAGCCAACTCAAATAAGTAACAATTTAGGGGTAAAAAAGTAAAAAGTACTAAGTGCCCTTGGAAGTCCACGCACAGCCTTGTAGGGATTATGACACTGGGGAGATTACTTCTGGCAGATTTCATCAGATGGGCTTCATGGAGGAGGTGAAAGTAGAGAGCTGACTCTTGAAGTTAGTCATCTGGATACATAAAGGAATGATGGTCACGGAGGAATCGACCACCTAAGCAAATGTGCAGAGGGCAGGGCGGGGGTGCCGTGAAGGTTCAGTGTAGCTGGAGTGAAGGGATACAAGGAGAAAAGTTGGGATGTCAGGTAGAAAGGTCCTTGGATGTTGGGGCATTGAACGCATTCAGTGTCAGGCTAAGAGCTTGGGCTTTGTTCCTGAGGCAGTGGCAGCCTTTGCAGGTTTTACAACTGGGGGACGGCATGGTCAGATTTGTGTTTCAAGCACACAGCGCTTATCAAACTGTAATGTGCACACAAATCACCTGGGGTCTTATTAAAAATGCAGGTGCTAGACCAGTAGATCTGGGGTAGGACCCAATATCCTGCATGTCTAACAAGCTCCCAGATCATGGACCCCACTTTGAGTAGCAAAGCTTTAGGGCAGGTCCATCTCCCCAACAAGATTAGAGCAGGAGACTAGAATCAAAGAAACCTATTAGGAAGTAACTACATTATCCTAGCTGAGTTGAACAGATCTGAATAGTTATTCTTTTTTAAAAAATCAAGGCTTGCTTTATTCACTCATTTATACATTATAAATTTCATTTAAGTACAAGTAATGGTCTCATTTTCAGGTACAATATTTACTGAGATCAGGGAGTTCTCAGGAGAGTAATACATCGTTGTCCATGACAACACAGACACTTGGGAAAGTATAATACAGATTTGGTTGAACTTCTGTCTCTGAGGTTTTACCTATGGATATCGAAAAGGATAAAGAGAAAGAAAATGACTTGTTTCGAAGGGGAGAAGCAAATGTATGTCAGGACTAGAGAGATCTGGGCTGTGGGGACAGCGTCCACAGCCTGCCTTGCTGAGTGGAGACCCACTGTCCCTTCTGCAGGGATTCCAGCCTGCAGACTACCACGGCCACCACTTCTGCCCACTGTCCTCTTCTGGGTCCCATCCTTCTTCATCTTATTAGGTCCATCTCAGTCTTAGCATCCATCTGATCTCACTAATATTTCATTTCTTCTAGGGTTTCTCAGTTTTCACCGGGGTTGGGCCATTTTTAAGTTTCTTAGAACTTTAAACACTATCTTAAGTAACTAAATGCTCAAAACACATCCAGTTATTTAATTAAATAAGTAGATGCTCAAAACATGTATTAAAGTGGGTTACACATATAATAATAGTGTTACATGTTGCAGAAATTCTAAGCTGCATCTTAATTCCAACTTTTAAGGTTATATTGCTTTTTTTTAGGTTGTATCTACTTATATTTATGCTCTTGTAAGTATGCAATCTTTCTAAATTGTATCAATAATCCTCAAAAATTCATATAATAATTATAAACAGTCACCACATACCTATCACCTGCCAGGGTCTGGGTTTATGAAATATCAGGAGTGTTTGCACTTGTTTTCTGAATGCTTATCTGTTCATTGGTTGAGGTGATTGATGTTAAGTCATAGTGAGGAAATATGCCTAAGCGATTTATATAGAGAGGCTTTAGAAATCCAAGCCACGGTTAGGGAGAGTCTGCTCTTGGAAAGTAAAAGCGTGGGCAGATGCAAGAAACATTTCTGAGTGTCTTGGCTCAGGCTGCTATAACAAAATACCATAAATTAAGTGGCTTAAACAACAAATTTTTATTTCTCATAGTTCTGGAGGCTGGGAAGTCCAAGATCAAAGTGGTGACAGATTTATTGTCTGGTAAGGGTC